TCATACGGCAAAAACTATTAAAACGTGGTTGCAGAATCATCAAATACCAGTATTAAAATGGACGTCTTCCAGCCCAGATTTATCTCCTATTGACACCTTATGGCACAATATGAAAAAACAGCTTCGGAAACATCCAGCACGTTCAGTGCCTGAATTAAAAGTCACAGTACTGAATATTTGGGATAATATTCTACCAGAAGAATGTGCTTTGTTAGTAAATACAATGTCTAGCAGAATTAAAGCAGTTATTAAGAACAAAGGCGATGTAACTCAATATTAAAGAGTGGCCGAACTTTTATGACCCCTGAGACGGATAAAGTTTTCTATTGTGTAACCATTAGTCGATATATGTATTGAATAAAATGTTCATTTTTGTAACTAAAAAGTTTATATTTTACTGTAGTTAAAGGGATTTTCAGAAATATTTTGTTATTTCTGCATAACTCATAGATTATTAAAGTATTTAGTTGAAAACGTTGACCGGCCGAACTATTATGAGCCTGGGCTCGTAACAATAAACAAATCAAATGACTAATTTATACATGTATTTATGAAAACCCCATAAATGCCTTTTCTTCTAATGAGGCAAAAATTCAATATAGCGTCCATAACAAAACCAAATGTTAACCCACATTTTTATATACGTTACTGACTGCAGAAATCGATTTCTCACATTATTTTATATCAGACTACACATTTCTGTCCTAAAATTTTGAAAAATAAGTGAAGTATACAATGTGTCCCAAAATAACGGAAGACCACATATTCGTGCACTCAAAATAGGCTAATTCACCAATATCTAAAATCGCTTCGTTCGATCACTAGATGGCCTCAAAGATAGTGAAAATTCTTTGAATTTTTTAAATAACTCGAATACGTATTATTCGATTTTGATTATTTTTGGGGTGTGGTGTGGCTTTCAGATTTTGGTGTTGTACAGAGTGTTTTTTAAAACTTACAACTCCTACAAAATTGATGTATGGTGATAATATCCGTCATAACCTTTTCCTCCGTCGGGCAATAATGATAACTATTTTTCATTTGATTGGTAATACCATTTGGAAGTATTTGGGCCTCTTATAGAATTTTGATTAAATGAGCCGTTTGCGTACAAACAATATTTTTTAAATGTATACATTATCTTGCCACTCATATTACAATACTTAACAAAGTGCTAGTAGGCTATGATTTCGTAGGTTGACTGTAATCTCAGTTTGCTTTTGTTTGGGATAGATTTATTATTGGCCCTGTTATTCTACCCAATAGGGGAATGGGGAATTTTATTTAGAATTTTTGCAAAACCCGAGTTATTGGAAGATGTGCCGTTATTATTAGAGCTGACATGTGGTTTATGTATGTGGGCGCTCCACCACATTTCTCTGTAAATGTCCGGCAGTATCTGAATCAAAGATTCCCTCGTCGATGGGGATAATTTCCTGTTAACTAGCCTGTACATTCACCAGACTTAACACATTGCGACTATTATCATTGGGGCACTCTGAAAACAACAGTGCATGATTCCACATCTAACACTGAACTGAGTTGTGAAGGCATATCCAAAGTGCCATAAATGTTTTAAAAAATTAAAAGCTGCAGCCGAATTAACTTTTGTTGTAGATGTTGGTGGTGGTCATTTTGAATAGTTTATAAGTTGTACTAAATTTAGTAACCTCAACTTTGTTACTTTTATCTCCAGCATTTTTTATTGTATTTTATTGTCTTTACGAATTATTTCAATAAAATTAGGCACGTTGTAAATAACTCTAATTCGTCATATGTGTGAAAGGGGACTATGCATGTCACAGTCTATCTCATATGTTGAGTGAAGCTAGGCAAGGGGAAAGCAGAGGGCTTTATTTTCATCCAACTGATGCGCGCGATTACATCTCCAATGTCGTACATTTTGGATGGGTCAAAATAAAATATTTTATAGTCCTAAGTCAATATATTTCAACAGCTACTCAGTATTTTTATAATAAATATATATAATATTTTTATAACTTCTTGGAATCCCAATAACTGTAACCATTTCTTTCTTGTTGCACCATCCCCAAGCATCCTAAAAACGTTCACATTTCACTTTTAGAATACTGAGGCAAATTTTCAGTGAGACATAAAAATATATTCCCAAAGGAGAACATCAAATGGTTGAATGAATGCAACTTTCAGTTGATTGCATCTTCGGTATTTTTATGTATAAGTGAACCACCACCATATTTTTGCTGTTGTATTTATTCAGTTTTTATGCTCGTGCATTTAGTAAAATTGTAAATATATTTTTGAAAAGGTTTTTGTCGTAGAGGAAAATGAAAATGATGAATGATTAAAATTTGTAATGTTGGGTATAAGGGATAACATTGAAATACCTATAAATATATTAAATATAAATAATGTCTGTAACTTATTTGTGGTGCAGCATTTTCCTTTGATTTTAATGGCCAAACGTGGTTCATATTATTGTTTTCTTACTATTTCAGCAAAAATTTTAAAAAAATACCAAGTCAGTTTTATAAAATTTTACCGTTATTCAAATAAAAGTTACCCACACGCACGACAATGGCCACAGTTGCATATACATTCCAAAGTCACCTTCAAGCACGCTTACCTGTGGAAGGATAGCTGATGTGGATGTTTATAATCCAATTTCTTACAAATTCTGCACTGTCTAACCATATTCACACCTTAAAAGTTTATCCAAAATACATGTATAAACACTAATCACGTTTCACTTACTAAAATCACAACTATTTTCTAACAAGAGACGCCATATTCTGCCAACCACGGCAGAACGAACGAGGAACACGCTACAAATTATTGCGTAGTTGCCAAGTCTTCAAACATGGCAAATATGAAAAATGAAAAATAATTTAATATGTACAGAATTTAACAATATTGTATGCATAACTTAATAATACTATCCTATAATAATAATTTTCACAATTGTGATGAAAATTGCGATAAATATATTAAGTACATTTCCAGTATAATTATACAGCTGACAACAATGATACAATTAGACTGTGAATAGACCAGGCTTCATCTAGAAATGTAAATAAAGTCCCCTTTATTTAAATGTCCTTGGTATCACCTATCAAATAAAAAATAGTTGTCATTATTGCCAGAGAGAAGAAAAAGTTATGAACGGATATTATAAATTTTGTAGAAGTTGTGAGTTTTAAAAAATACTCTGTATAACATCAAAATTTGTAGAATGAAAGCAAAAGTCCACACCCAAAAATAATTAAAATCGCTTATATAATAGAGTTATTTACAAAATTCAAAAAATTTTCACGAACTTTGAGGCCATCTAGCGGCCAAACGAAACGATTTCTAATATAGATGAATTAGCCTAAGTCTACCTATTTAGAGTCCACGAATATGTGGCCTTCCGTTGTACACGTTATTCTGGAACCCCCTATACAGGGTGTACCTAAATAAGTGTCGTAACGGAAAACTGTAAATTACTCTTGAAAAGAGAAACATTTTTTTCCTCTTCTATTTTTCTCTTCGGGCTTTTGTTTTCGAAATACACGGTGTCAAAACTTTTTTTCAGATTGTTGCCAATATCTTAGGAACCGTTTGAACTACAAGACTGAGCTTTTGTACATACATTATCACTATTAATAGCTACTTGCTGCAAATGTTGTTAAATTTCGTTAAAATTGTTAATTATTACTACCTATATTTTGAATCACAAAAGATTTTCGAAACGTTAGCAAAATGTTTGTTTTTGTTCATAAAAAGTAATTTTTCTTAAAAACGGTTGACTTTAGAGCAATGAACCAAGAGAACTATTTTTGTGTAAAATTCATTGGCGCTTCAGAATTTGCTGTCATATGTCAATTTTTCCAGTGGCGTAAAAGTTAGGGGAGAAAAACCCTGTCGATACCTTAAAATCTCCGCCACTGGCACGTTCAATGAATTCGAGAAGGATGGGAAAAAGTAGCTATTAATAGTGGTAATGCGTGTACAAAAACTCAATCCTATAGTTCAAACGGTTCCTAAGATATTGGCAAAAAATTTTAAAAAAATGAAAGATTTGACACCGTGTATCTCGAAAATGAAAACCCGGAGAGAAAAATGGAAGAGAAAATGTTTCTTTTTTCAAGAGGAATATACAGTTTTCCGTTGCGACACTTATTTAGGAACACCCTGTATAAAAAATAGCATAAAATCAATTTCCTTCGAATATCTTCGGAACTATTTGGAATTTTCTAAATTTAAAAACGAATCCTTGATCGGCATCAAGTTCTGCAAATTTTTGGTCATTTAACCATTTCCGTATCTCTTAAAATAAAAAAGATACCCGTATAGCACAATTAAAAAGTTGTAATCTACTGTTGAAAGAAGAAATGAAAGATTTGATACAAATTTTGTATAAATATCATAAAAATTGAATAACGAAAGAGTCGTAGATAACTTGATACACATTTTAATTAATGATATTGAGCGAAACAAATACTCTGAGGGCTACACACTTGTCCCGTCTAGCACTGGATTACAGCAAACTATCATACGTCAGAAAAATTACCAAACATCAACCGGTGTCAAAATATTCATATTTTATTCCATGGGGATTAATTGATTTACTGTTCTCTTCAATGCTTGTCTATAACCGCCGCTTTATTAAATTTTCAGTTAAGTGATAAAATTTACGGGGGAGGAGAAACTGAGCTGTATGAATTTCCCTGGATGGCGCTGTTGGAATATAAAAACCCTTCTAACCGCAGAAGATTTTCTTGTGGAGGTGTCATAATTTCTAAGAGATACGTTCTTACAGCAGCTCATTGCGTTGGCCAATTTTCGCAAAGAGTTGGTGAATTGTGAGTATAAAGCAACTAGCAACTATCATCAAAATTTAATAAATTTAACAGATATTTTGTAGTGCTGCTTATAAAATTAATTAATTTAAAAAAATTAAAGTCCAATTTTTTAGGGTGAATGTACGGCTTGGCGAGTGGGACTTGCGACAGGAAGTGGATTGCATTCGAGTGGGTGGTTCGAAATATTGCAATAAACCTCCACAGGACTTTGGAGTATCGGACATTCTGATCCATCCGGATCATCAAAAGAGATTTTCCAAGGGAGCTGGAGATATTGCATTGATCAGGCTAAACAGAAACATCACGTATTCAGGTCAGTGCACCTTTAAAGAAATGCTGTCTAAGAAACAAAGTAAGAAGACACACATTTCTGGTCATAGAAACAATTTGTTTTACGTAACACCAACTTTACTCATTCTTTATTGTATTTTATTTCTCCAGAATGCTTGTGGTGAAGACCTTTCAGTAGTCTTATTTCTGATACACAAACGTTTTCATATTTTTTCAGAGTTTATCAAACCAATATGTCTGCCATTTCCTGCCGAATCGTCAGCAGTTGGTGATACAACAGTTGTAGCAGGATGGGGCCAAACAGAAAATGCAACCCACAGCCCGGTCAAACTCAAAGTAGAGATACCAGTTGTTGACAGGTCACTGTGCGTGTCAAGTTTTCCATCTCTCGATATTCGAACTCAGATATGCGCTGGAGGGAAGAAGGGAAAGGATTCTTGTTTTGGTAAGGTGCCCCACAAGATGTAAGCAGTTGATGTATTAATAATTATAACTATTTTCTGGCATATCTCGGAGACATGTTAAGGGATTTTTTCTAATTTGATATAATTTCACGTCAATACAAAAAACTTTGAGAATGTTATTTATTTACACTTTCCGCAGTGGCGTAACATTTATTTTTTATAAAAGGGCCTCAAAAATACAGGGTGATTAATTGATAATGGGACAGAGCTTAAGGGCATGTTGCTGACCTCAAAATAGAGCGATTAAGCCAAATATGCCTTATCCGAATGTTGCTCCTTTTTTATGTACAGGGTGTTAAAGACGAAAAAATATTTTCGATTTTTTTAAATATCTTGAACATCTTTGAACGGATTGTCTTGAAAGTTTGTACACCTATGTTTTCTGATGTGGTAATTACGGAAATGGTAACTATTTTGCAATCACATCTAGGATGCGCTAGTTGTAGTGTTCTGTCTACTACTTCATTTAAGTCATCTTATTTAAAGGCGTACGTTCAAACAAATAATTTTGTAAAGAAATAGTAAATCGTTCTTATTTCGAAAACGGTTAAGTTTATCGAATTTTAACAGGTATATTTTTTTTTGTTTAGAATTGAACGTAGTTTAATAATGTCTTATTGGAAATTCAGACTTTTGAAGGACAAAAAAGATTGACATATGTTTACTCCCACGGAACACTACAACTAGCGCATCCTAGATGTGATTGCAAAATAGTTACCATTTCCGTAATTACCACCTCAGAAAACATAAGTGTACAAACTTTCAAGACAATCCGTTCAAAGATGCTCAAGATATTTAAAAAAATCGAAAATATTTTTTCAACTTTAATACCCAGTAGATCGAAAAGGAGCAACATTCGGAAAAGGCATATTTGGCATAATCGCTCTATCTTGAGGTCAGCAACATGCCCTTAAGCTCTGTCCCATTATTAATGAATCACCCTGTATAGTTTGCATGCCACTACTTTTTGTGTTGACGTGAAATCTCAACGAATGATGTAGGTCCCCGTTAAAACTTACCATATGAAATTAGAAAAAAATCTTTTTAACGTATTTCCGAGAAATACCTGAAAATCGTTTATTTTTTCCACTTCAACACCCTGTATCTGGAAAATTAAGCGTTTGTGAGCAACATTGTATACGACTTTTCCCCATTAATTTTCCTGGTAGAATCTAGTGGTAAAGTTTGGCCCAGTCTTCAACTGACACCCTGTATGTAACGTTAATTTCAGGTGATAGTGGAGGCCCTTTGATGAAGATGAGCAAACACACACTCCAGTGGTATGTCGATGGAATTATCTCCTTCGGTCAACGTTGTGGAGAGGAAGGGTCGCCAGGAGTCTATACAAACGTGTCTGAATACATTGACTGGATAATGGAACATATTAGAGATTAGGAAAATAGAACAGTTTAGAATACCTAACATAAGATAGATTAAGTACTCTATTAAGTACAAAAATTAGAAAATTAGATAATACTCATATTATACTCGTTTGTGATAGTTTTACTCTGAAAAAAAAAACAGACTATGATTTTATTAGAAAATTCAGCTTGAAAGTTACTAGAAAATTGTCATATCAATATATTTTTGTCCATCTGTTTTAATCTCTCCCTCCCTCTCTTCCTCACTCCTCCTTTCTCTCTACACTAAAAAAAAATTTCACTCAAATTTCACTCAATTTTACTCAATAATGTATCAATTTCTGTCCACACCCAATTGAGTGAAATTTTCACTCTATTGGTATGAGTACAGCTGAGTGAAACTATTGCATCAGAAATGAGTGAGTTTTACTCAAATCCGAGTTATTTCTATCAATTGAGTGATTTTTTACTCTATTCTGAAATATAAAACCAATTTAGAGTTGACTTTTTCTCTAATATGATTTAAATTTAACTAATATTGAGTCATTTTTTACTCAGACTTGGTTTTTAATTAACTAAACATTGATTGCAAAAATAAATCACTTGTTAATGATTAATTAGGATATACAGTGTTGAAATTAATTCAATTCGCGGGGTCTCCTGTCCTGGCTGAGACTCGCCAACTGAGATCCGCTGCGTCCGGCGAAGGCCTGTTCTCCTGGCGATCACGCTTTTCTGGAGCCCCCATCAACTGTGGTCAAGTTTACGGAAGCAATATGTAGGTGGTCGAAATTAATATACATTTAAATTCACTCGGTAATGAGAACATTTACTCTGATTTAGGTACAAGTGCACCAAATACGAGTTTACGTGAAGAATTTATTTAAGGGGTGTCTATATTTGAGTGAAAGTACTCAGTTTTAGTTTAAATATAATCACAAATGGGTAAAATGACCAAAATACCCAATATTGAGTGAAAATGTACTCGATAAACCTTTATTGCTTTCATTCACAACGATTTTTTTACAGTGTACCCTCTTACCCTTCCATTGCAAATAGTATTCCGTTAATATTTTTAGTCTCAGCGTTCTATTGCTACAAGCCCCTATTTCTATCTATTTTTGCTTATGGCATAGAAATAGCGAGGCGACTGAGACTGCATCGTATGACTTCTTGAAATTTAGTCCTGCTTCAGTTTCCAGCTGAGGCGTGTCAGTGCATGTCATAAGCGTACAAATCGGAAATACATTTTGTTATTTTTACATGTTAGTTGGACGACCAAGAAAAAATGCAGCCAGTATTATTGAGATATACAGTGTGGATACAAATTGTGGAATATTGCTTATATTTCTTAAAATATTCGTCATATCAAAAACATGTTTAATAAAAGTGTTAATTATTTCCCGTTTAGTGATATCTAGCAATCTTCCTTAGCACAAAAAATGTGGTTGACAAGGTAACCGACTTAATTTTTTTGAACGGTACCATATACCTACTTTTTTTGGTGAAAATTAATACATTGAACTTTCCTAAATACGATACAATACAATTTTAATGGGTTTTAATATTTTAAGGAATATAAGCAATATTCTGTATTATTTTTGCAATGGGAAATCAAATTCTGTGAATTACTCTCGAATTATTTATCGATTTGTTTTTGTTTTTAATTNTATTATATTTGGGTAGTGAAGCAAAAAATTAAATTTAGGCTTTAAATTTTCTTTAAATAGTTTTAAACACATTAGGTGATGGTCTTCAATAAGACATTTTAAAAAATCAATGGATTCATCATTAAAGATAGAAAAAAATAAGATTTCGGTTATTTCTAATAAAATTAAGTATAGTATCCATGTTTTATCATTTTCTGGAACTAAATCTCTAATAATTAAATGAAAATTTAAAACTAAGAAGGAAAGCATGAAGATGACAGTAATATAACCGTTTCTAATTTGTTCATGCATACTTAATGTTTGGAGGAATTAAATCACAACTAATATTTTTATATATGTGAAAGTCATCCAGTTCAATGAAAATGCAATTTTCCTTAACACCATAATCAGCAGTTAAATGTTCTAAGTAGTCTTGTTCTTGTCTAAGACTACGTTACACACTCCTACGATGTACTACACAGTACAGTACACCACAGACTATACACCATACACACTCACACTACACTGCAAGTTATAAAACACATACGAGACGAGTAACTGCATGTGGTAGAAGTTAAAAGTCTAAATGCCTTTGGCTGTCGCTGAAAGTTAATCCACGCTTTTCGCCGTAGTTTTAAAAATATGATAGTTTTGAATTAAAACAATATACTAAAATCAACTATACCACATCTTTAAATGCAGTTTATCTGAAAATTTAACGATATGATAGTTTTATGTCAATAAATACTATTATTCCTTTGATAAAATAAGTGTTTTAATTTGGACTTATGATTTATTTGTTTTAAATAAGTTCATTTAAATTAAAATAACCAAAATGTAGATGCAACCTTAAAACATGATTGTTTTAAAGAAATTGATTTGTTTTACATTATAATTTACTATGTTTTAATACATTATATTATATGTTTAAATTTAGGATGTATCTTTGATTCTAATACATTTTCTAAACATAAAATAGAATTGTTCCAAATACATGAGTAATACTGAAATAAAGATATATGATCAAATTAAATAAATATTTCTTCATAAGAAATTTGTAGTTTATTATTAAAGATACCTTTTTATGTGTGTAAATATTGAGTGCAAAAATAAATCACTCATAAATGATTAATTAGGATAAACAGTTTTGAAATTAATTCAGTTCGCGAGGTCACCTACTATCCTGGCTGAGACCCGCCAACTGAGACCCGTCGCCGGCTAAGGCCTGTTCACCTGGCGATCACGCTTTTCTGGAGCATCTAACGGGCACCATCAACTGTGGTCGAGATTACGGAAGCAATATGTAAGTGGTCGAAATTAATATACATTTAAATTCACTCGGTAATGAGAACATTTATTCTGATTTAGGTACAGGTGCACCAAATACGAGTTTACGTGAAGAATTTATTTAAGGAGTATCTATATTTGAGTGAAAGTACTCAGTTTTAGTTTAAATATAATCACAAATGGGTAAAATGGTCAAAATGCCCAATATTGAGTGAAAATGTACTCAACAATTTGACTCAATCGATTCACTCCGAACCTTTATTACTTTCGTTCACACCGATTTTTTTACAGTGTACCCTCTTCTTACCACTCTCTCAAATAAGAAAGGAAGTATAAGTATTATAGTAGTGCCAGTGCCAAAATAGTTGGTAGAAAAGTCATGGACAGGAACAAATCAAATCACAATTTTTACTAAATTTTAAATAATTTTCTGTATTCTCTGCACAGAAATTGTGATGTACCTTTCATTGGAAATAGTGTTCCGATAATATTTTTAGCCTGAGCGTTCTACTGCTACAAGCCCCTATTTATATTTTTGCTCATAGCATGCAAATAGCGAGGCGACTGAGACCGCATTGTATGACTTCTTGAAATTCAATCCTGCTTCAGTTTCCAGCTGAAGCGTGTCAGTGCATGTCATAAGCGTACAAATGGGATATACGTTTTGTTATTTTTACATTTTAGTTGATCGGCCAAGAAAAAATGCAGCCAGTATTATTGAGATACATTATTTTTGCAATGGGAAATCAAATCCTGTGAATTACTCTCGAATTATTTATCGATTTGTTTTTGTTTTTAATTAATCCCAAAAATTTGAATATTACAAATGCAAATGGTGAGACGAAAAAAATATAAACATTTACCTGAATCATTAATAGATAGAATTAATAGAATAACGGAAACAGCGCAATAGAGTATGATAGGTAGGCGTAATTTAAATACACATTTCGATACACAAATTAGTCATTAGAAATTTATTTGTGTAACTCAATTTGGAATAATATAATAAAATGGGTAATTTTCAAGTGAAGTATGTTTTTGGAAATATATATTATTATATTTAGAGTACGATAAACTTTCAATACAAAAAGTAAAAAATAGAGGAGCATATAAACAATAAAATTTATGACATTTTTAATGTCGTTTTTCATTTTAAAATTTACATTTCAATAATTTCAGTATACTTTTTAGAATATGTTTGGCTGCAATAACATCATATCACAGTATAATACTACATTATCAAATTGTATTATACTTTCATAAATGCAATCGCTTTAAACCCTTGTCTTATATGCAAGATTTATATTCACAGAAGTGCATCATAATAGTCTGCTACTTATGCCTGTAACTAAGTCATCAACTTTTCCACGCGAATCAATTCATGATCACAGTTTGTAGATAATCTAAAACACGTGAAAGTTCTTTGCAAAAAAAGCAGTGCATACTTTGTGCCATGAACTCTATGTCGATTAATGGATGCTCTCGAACGGTGTGCGAAGATTCTGGTTCTACAATCTTCTCTTCAACAGCTTTTTTCCTGCTTTTGCTCTTTTCTATTCTAATTCTCAAGCGTTTCTACTTCCTTTTGGTCACAAATTTTCCTTTCTACCAACTCTGCTCATCATCCGACATTTTAGAGGTTAAAGCAATCAGCTGTGCGAACGATCACATAGCATAATGTTGGTATACATGACAAGGACTGGAAACTTACAAATAATAAACACAGCATACTCGTGCCGCTGTTGCCAAACTTCTGTTGTGGGTATATAAT